TTGATGGGCACTTAGGTTGTTTCCAACTCCTTGCTATTGTGAACAAAGCTGCAATAAACATGGGTGTGCATATATCTGCTTGGATGTCAGCTATTAATATGCATTTTTAACAAGATCTCAGATTGTTCTTACAGACAAATCTTTATGTATATGTAAGGATCTCCTGAGGTTCTTATTAAACTGTAGATTTGGTCTATCTGAGATGAATAAAATTCTCAGCAGGACATCAAAGTGGAATAAACTGATTCAAAACTGCACCTGTCCTTTTCACAGTCCTCAAACACAATTCCTACTGCCTGTCTCACATTTGATTTTACAATTACTTATAAAATAGGGAGCTCTGGTGGCCTAGTGCTGCAATCCCACCAGAAAACCCACCAGAGGATCAACTATGGATTAATTCTGACTCCTCGATAATAATAACAACCCCTGATAGAGCAACAGATAGAAGTTAGTGGTTCAAGCCTACTCAGTAGCTTCTCAGAACAAACTGGTAATCTCTTCCAGTAAAGATTGCGGCCTCTCAAACTCTGTGGAGCCGCTCTTCTTTGTCACACGACATCTACTCTGTCACTTAATAGCGCCTAATAATAACCTGACAAAATGAGTCCCTGTCGGGCACAGTTAAGCACTCTGCCACTATTAGCTGCAAATTTAGTAGTTTAGATTTGCCAGTGTTGTCGACTGAGGGTAAAGAATAAAAAATGAGAACACCACGAATGTATAAGAAAACAGGTAAAGCAGGGGGCAAGCAGTTCAAAGAACTGAAGCTCCAAATCAAGCTTCCCTGTGCCTTTACTGAAAATTGCCAGGGAGCAAATCACAAAGAGAACTCTATGCAAATGAAGCTAAGCTCTTTTTATTGACAACCTTATGCTTGACTCAGGAGGGAGGGGTTAGCAAATACAAGAATTGTGTAAATGCTTAACTCTTGTGAACACCTAAGGTCTGCCTAGGTGCTTCAAGCCTTGGTGCTTCAAGCCTTGGTGCTTCAAGGTGAATTCCAGCTTGTATCTGTGCCTCCCTCATATCCTGATAGAGCATTTGGTTTATTATAAATATTTAATATGAAATTTGGCTTATCACATGCCAGAGCCCTTGAAAATCCAATGGAACATTCTATTCTGCTGCACGCATGGACTTGCTATGAGTTTGAAATTAACAACCACGATAGCAAGTAAATTGTATACATCAGTTTACAAACAGGTGGTCAATCACCAACTGGCCTGTACCTGAAACTGCAGGCCCTGAAACCTTAAATCTATAGTTCTCATTTAATCTGAATGAGGAAAGAAAAAGGGGAAAGAAGTAGCAGGTTCATTTTCTTTGATACTTCACCATGTTTAATTTCCTAACGTGCACTGAGACTCATGGATGGGAGAGGGATTTATTATACAGCATTTCCTCCATTTATTTGACCATTGCACCATAGAGCACCTCTAGGAACTTTCTCAGCCTCATTTTGCAAAGTGCTCCATATCGTAAGCGTTTTTGTTGTTCAAATAGAATAATGCCAATTTGTTTGTTGTTTTCAGGTTTTTATGATGATCTGAGTGCAAGTTTACAATGCAAATTAATTTTTCATTCCCGAAGGCATGAAGTTCAAGTCCACAAGCTGCTCTGCCCGAGAAGGATGGGCAGTCTCCTCCTGTTTGATTAACTGCCTCTGAAAACCTGCCATAGGGTCAGCTGTGGGTTGGTTCTGACTCAACAGTACACAACAACACCAAAAATAACTAATATTGTATAATTTAGGCTCTGCATTTAATACTGTAGCTATTTGTGTTCCTCTGTTGTTCATTGGATTTACAGAGGACTGCTGTTTCAGAAGTGGATGGCCAATCTTTCTTAGTCTGTAGTAATCTGGAAGCTCTTCTGAAACCTGTCCACCATGGGTGACCCTTCTGGCATTTGATAGACTGATGATATAGCTTCCAGTATCACAGCAACCTGCAAGTTACTCCAGTACAGCAAACTGACTGTCAAGTGCTATACTAACAAAAGCAGAGGATAAATAAGCAAGCATGCATATACCCACCTAACTATTGAGCAACATGCAAATCATTCTCACAATACAACAAACTGACATATAAGTATTATACCTCCAGTAGAAAATCAGGCATGCAAAATCATGATGCAGGGTTCATCTGAGGCCTGTGTAGCGTGACAGGATGGATGGATCCTGGATGGGCACTGGAACCAGAAGAGGCCCAAAACAGATTCCTGATAAAAATTTCATATGAGCACAATCAAATGTTCTAGGATTCCCTTTCTTCTAAATGTTGGCCATAATTTGTTGTGATCCACACAGTCAATAAAACACATATA